TAAAGCAAATTCGATGTGCAAGATACCAGGGGTACAAAAGTAGGAAATGCAATTTTAACAGGGTGATAAGAAAAGGAGTTTTCTTAGAAATCTATTAAAATGTCACTCGGTTAAGGAGATCAGAAATTTGCTGGTCAAAATCGAGCCCCACAGCAATTAGGCTTTGATACTGACAGATATACATAATAAAGGGAAGAGACTGGGTAAAGGGACAGGGCCCCTGATTCCTTTCCTCACCTCTCTTTTGTCCTCATTCCATTTCATTTGCTGCTAAGCTGTAGGGGATCTTGACAGTATGAAAGAAGGTCGGATGCCTAAAGCAGATAGCTCACTGTAAAAGAGGGCTTCAATCTCCACCCAAAACTCTGACTCCCTAGAAGAACTGGGGGAGATCATTGCCAGTATCGGGGGTCCTGAGGCATGAATTGTCCTTTTTCCATCTTCCTCACACGTGGGCCCCTCATGCATGCCCCCAATATTGGTGTGTATTGTCTTTGTGAAAGAGGGCCTGAGGACTTGTGTGTGTGTGTGTGTGTGTGTGTGTGTGTGTGTGTGTGTGTGTGTGAAATGTTCTGTTGTCTTGCTCTGATATTTTAACAAATGCCTTTCCTTTGAACCATCTCTGCCTTCTGGTTGCATAAAACAAAAGCAAACACTTGATTGTGGCCTCACCGGCTTCTACACGGAACAGACAAAACCCATACAGAGTCTGAAGTCACTGTTCTTGGAACTCCATGCTTGACAAAGGGATGTGGTGTCCCAAGTACTATAATGGTCCACTATGGGGTGAATTTAGATAATTAGAACAACAGCTTATATTTGAAATATGAGAATACCCATTTCTATGTTACCTTATTTGGGCTTTGTGACATTTCTGTGGGGAAGGTGTTCCAGTTGAGCCCCAGAGAAGCTAAAGGGCTTGATCTCACAGGGAGGAAGTGCCAGAACCAGAACTGGAGCAAAGGCTTCCTTCTTCCACATCCCATATGGCAGCTACTACATCCACCAGAGGATTGACTTGTTGGGTGTAGGAAAATAGGTTCATAGCTTTAGAATTGGAAGGGACCTCAGAATTCACCTGGTTCGGCCCCTACTTTACAGCAAAGGAAACAAGCTGAGGGCCAGAGTGGGCAATTCAGTTGCCTAAGGTCACACAGGCAGCAAGTATTAGAGGTGGAGTTTGAACCCAGGTATTCTGATTCCAAAGCCAGAGTTCTTCTCGAAGGTACCTGATTCATGCTTCTTCCTGCTTTCTGAGCTGTAGGATACCAGACAAATTTTGGCTGAATCATCAGATCAAAGAGATGAAAGGGAAACTGAGACCCAGAGGGAGGAATGACTTGTTCAAAGCACATTGGTAGTAAATAGAAGAGCTGGGAATTGAGCCCCAGATCTCTGATTCCTGATCCACCAAGAACTGATGTTAACATAAATAAAATCTCATGGTAATAAACTTTTCAACAATCTATATTGCATCATCCTCTGACTTAAATTTCTTTAAAGTGAAAAAATCCAGAATTAATAATTAAGCATTGAATTAATAGCTTCTATACAGTTCCAGGGCTTGGAAAGCATGAGTGTGTGATGCCTCAACACCTCCAGGAAATGTTTATTCTATAAAGAACTTGGAAGTTCTGCTAATGAGCCCTTCATCAATAATGCATGGAATCTGATACCATCCCACACCATATTCTCTTGGAATCAAATCTTCAAAGCAACATGAAAAGAGGATTAATTTACGATCTTGTGAAGATCTCGTTTTTATTCATCTCTCTCTATTGAGTGTATGGGCCCTCTCCAGAAACATTTGTCTATGGATGACGTTGCAGGGGTAACCTGCAGCCCCAGAACACTGTAGAGCTTCTCACATACATTGCCGTCGTCACTCCTGAGTTTGGGCTAGCTATCCACACAGGAAAAACCAAGCGGATGAGGAGTGTACATTGCTATGAGTGATGGGCAGTTGGATTAACAACCCATTGAGTTGGTCCAGTAGTTTGTCAACCTTGGATAGATGCTAGGAATGGTTAGTAAACTGGGCCCAGGATCAAACGGGGGGGGGGGGAAGGAAGCAGACCGCCTTGTCTTTTGCAAGCTGTGTCATAGGCTCCGAGGACGCCAAGCTTCTTGCTGAAACAAACACTTATTTTAAGGCATTAAATTTTTATTCTTATGATACTCCTTGGATGTGAGTCTAATAATGCTGCAATCAAGAATTCAACCTGAAACTCACCAGAAGGGCAGTGGATAGGTGCATGATGGTGGCAGGGAGGCTGCGCCTTGTCACTAACAAAGAACTACCTGGGAAGAAGGATATGGAAAATGGTGAACTGAGTCTGGACTTAAAGTCAAGAGGACCCAAATCTTGCCTCCAAAACTTACTAGCTGTGTGACTGTAGGTGAGTCATTTCATCTCTGTCAACCTCCGTTCCTCATCTGTAAAAATGGGGGAGATAAAACATGCAATCATAGCATCATGGATCGAAGGCTAGAAGGGACCTCAGAGACGGTCTAGCCCACCCTTCCTTCCCCAAGGTCCAGAAAGGGGATAACCTTGCCCAAGTTACACAAGGAAGAAGTGGCAGAGGGGGATTTGAGCCATAGGATGAACAACATGGAAGAGTCGCACAGGGTGAGAATTCATATATTAGTTACGGCTAGTAGCATTAGAAAGAACCCCATCAGTGAGGTCGCAGAGCCGTTAAAGGCTAAAGATTTTGAGAGAAATTCAGCTGATATCTTCTGTGGCATCCCAAGTAAGAGAGAGACAGAGACACAGAGGGACAGAGACGCACAGAGAGAGACAGAGACAGCAGAGACAGAGAGACATAGGAAAACAGGGATTTAGGGAAGCAAAGGCAGACACACACACACAATTATTAGATGTCTGCCTCACTGGTTTTTTTTTTCTCACTGTGTTTTTAAAAGGCTGAGATGAGATAAAATATGTAAAGCTCTTTGCAAATTTTAGGGTGCTGGTTTGGACATAGGAAGTGCTAGGTCAGACCTGCCTCTTCCACACGCTGGCAGTCACGTAAACTGCTAGTTGAGGTAGCCGGCAATGCAGTGCACAAAGCCTAGAGTCAGAGAAAGACCTGAGTTCAAATGAGCCTCCTACACTGACTAGTTGTGTCACCCTGGGCGAGTCACTTAACCTCCATCTGCCTAAGTTTCCTCCTCTGTAAAATGGAGGTGATAGCGGCACCAGCCTCCCAGGCTGCGAGGATCAAACGAGACCCTATGTGAAGGCCCGATGCAGAGCAGAGGCTAGGGAAGAATGCATTCCCTTCCCTGCCCTAAACTGTGGGGCAAGTCACTTTGTCTCTCAGCACCCCCTGCAGCTTTCTAAAACTCTGGGCTACGGAGCAGGTTCCAATCTGCATTGATGGAGGGAGTTTCCTCATCTGGAAGTTCCCTCTGCCAAAAACCAAGTCTGGTTTTTAAAAATATGGCTAGGGAATGGGCTCATGGGATCTCCCAGATGAGGTAAGTCCCTCCGTCAATGCAAGTAGCTCCTTCCTCTGAGTCCTTTGGTCTTAGTGGGTTACTCGAGAAGTTAACAGACTTACCCAGGGTCACACAGACAGTTGGGGGAAGGGATGGGGCCTTGGATCTACATCTTCCTGCCCCAGAGGCTAGCCCTCTGTCTGCTTTGCCATGCTGCGTGTGTGCATGCGTGTGACACAAGGTCATTTTAATGGGGGAGGGACTCACAGCTGGAGGAAAAGCCTTCTGTAGGAGGAGCTGCTTGGGATGAGCTTTGAGGAAAGCCGGCCGGATTGCAGCCAATTAGCGCTGTAAGGCTAATCCATTCAGCCTCCTAATTTTGTGATTTAAAGTCTATGGCCTAAATACAGCCGTCCCTGAATGTAGGAAGGCAATTGGTGTGCCAGAAACAGTTCATTAGGTGAAATTCGCAAACCGAGGCCAGGATTACTTCTGATTCTCATGTGATTTCCCTTGACTGATGCAAGGCGGCAGAGAAGAGTTTATCATTTCTCTTTCTTTTAATGCTACAGCCACGAATTCAATTAAAAACACAGATAGACTTCCTCTCAAGCTAAACCTAAGTTTTAAATACAGAATTATCAGGAGATGAATTCTAACTAACCTAGGAGAGGCTGATATGTGCAGGCTAGAGGCGGGGCTGGTCCTGGCTGGTGGGGAGGGATGACCGTGACGACAGAGGGGAAACTTCCAATGACTTGTCAGTCTTGGTGCTCCAGGAGCCAAGAACATGGAACCCCAGCCCCAGTCCATCTTCTAAACAGGCTTGGCGCAACCTGGCCGTAAACTCCAGCAACTGAGCAAGTCCGTGCCGAGCAGAGCCACGTTGAGAGAGACCTTGAAGAGGAGGGCAAAGTTTTCTGACTTCCTGGAGAAAGAGAAATGAAAGCAGTCCCTGGGAGGACGTCATGGGAGGAAGTATTATGAGACCAACTGCCAATAGCCCTGTGATGTGTCTGGTGTGTGCACGCATGTCTGTGCGTGCGTGTGTGCATGTGTGTACGCACGTGTGTGCATGTGTGTGTGCGTGTGCATGTGCGCACCATCCCAGCCATGAAGCTGGAACTCTATGAGGAGTGAATCACTCACCAGCGGTGGCAGAAATTGCCCATTTTAGATGGAGGGCTTCGTGTGACATGTTGAGTCTGCAGAGGTTGAGTTGGTGAAATGACAAATGGGGCTAATGTTTACTCTCTCGTATCCAGTGCTGGTGGTTCATTAGACACAACAGTTTCATAGCACTGACTATCAGTGAAGGAATCTGGCCTCAACACCAGGCCCCATCACTTCTTCATCCGTCTGTGTGACACCCTCTACCCCACTCAAAGAGCATTCACGAAATGCCCTAGAATAGGGATTTGGAAACCATGGCATACAAACTTTAAAAAAATGTATGTTGATCGCTATATTTCAGTATAACCAGCTTCCTTTGTAATCCTATGTATTTTATTGTATGAATTTAAAAACATAATTCTGAAGAGTCCATAGGTTTCTCCGGACTGATGGCCAAAGGGATACAGAAAAGGTTTAAAACCCCTGTATGAGGACTTCCCTGTGTGTCAGATGAGAAGGTTTTGGGCTGAACTTTCATTCTGGGATTTTCTGTGAGATAAACATGAAACAGAATCTTCTTTATGCAGCTGAGGACTTAACTGGTTCCCAGTGGCTCCTCTTTGTCTCATCTACAAATGAGCCTATAAACTTTTGAGAGAGAAAAAAGGGGTAGTGTGTTAGAGGGGAAGAGATGTATGACTTTCCTGGAAACAGAGGTGGGATGTATTAGAGGCAGGGATAGATTCCCTGAGAATCACAGACTCTCAGAGTGGGAAGGGGCCCCAGAAGCATCTGGTCTGCCTGTTACTTAAATAAGAAGCTCGCCTATGGGCATCCAATAGATGGCATCTGGCCTTTGCCTGAAGCCCTTTAGGTGGTGGGGCGGCGGCAGGGGCAGCACTAAGTCTGAGGCAGCTTGATCCAATCTGGGACAGCTCTGTTTGGCAGTACTCCTGTCATCCAGGCTCAATTTGGCTCTTTCCAGCTTCCAATCACTCTTCTCTAGTTCTGTCCTCTGAGATCAAATAGGACCAAGCTCATCTTTCCACTGAACATCCCTTACATACTCAAAAACAGCTGTCACCCCTCATCTCTACCCTCCTCCTTCTCCCCCCCAAAAAAACCCCACAACCACAGTCTTCTCGAGGCCAGTGTCCTAGTTCTTTCTATGCATCCTTAGCTGGCACAAGCAAGATATATTGGGAAGGGCACTGGACTTGGTGTTAGGAAGACACAGGTGCAACCCCCCACCTTAGCCCTTGACCAACTGGCCAGTCACTTAATCATTCTGGGCCTCAGTTTCCTCATCTGTAAAATAAGGGAGGTGCACTTGATTTCCTCCAAGGTCCCTTTCAGGGACCTCTATAATCCTGTGACCCTTCAATATCCTACTTGCTCTCCTTGAGGTGCTGTCCAGCTATCCAATATCCTTTTTTACCTACAGTGTGTAGAACTGAATATCACCCTTTCAATGCATCCAAACCAGAAGCCGACACACAGGGATCACCATCTCCAAGATCAGAAACCAGGACTCTCTTAATGAATCCTCAGCTCCCTTCCGCTTTCTTGGCTGCCTTATCCCCTGTGGACTCACATCGACCTCCTGGTCTACGTAAACTCGGGCTTTTTCTGATGAATTACAGTCAAACCATGTCTTCCTCCACCTTACTCCTTTGAAGCAGATATTTTTAGACTCAAGTGTAAGGAAAGATAAGTCAATATAGAGGGCTAAAAAAAGACTGGCTCCAGGAATGGCTTGTACTTTATGGATTTTATTTTTTTTTCTTTTGTAACTTCTTTGCTGTTTATTCATTCTTAAGCTACACCCCACCTCTGCCATGGATCTTTACCCCAGTAAATTAACTTTAAATATTGGGGATTTCATCAGAGTGGGTAGATCCTAGATCTTGAGGTAAAAGAAATCAGAGAAACCAGTTAGTACAACCTCCTCATTTGACAGATAAGGAAACTGAGGCCCAGAGAAGTCAAATGACTTATTTAAGCTGAAAAATGACAGATCTGAACTGATGTTTTCTGACCCTGAATTCCATGTTACCTCTACAGAGCCATGCAGCTTGAAGCAGAGAAGCTCATGTTTTCTATATGTCTGTGTGTGTTTTTTTTTATATGGCAAGGTATAAATGGACACTTTCCATTTGGAAATGATAGTGGTAGGAATTCTATGTATAAGATAGCACTCCCAACTCCTAATTTCCAAAATGGTAGATTTGGTTTTTATGAGTTCTGGCTCCTATTTGCAGATGTTTGTGAATTCCAACTGGGAAACAGCCATGAGCATTCTAATGACATGGTCTTCATGAGTAGCTCTGGATGAAACAACAAAAATAAAAACAACTCATGTTGCAAAGCTATGTCTATGGCTGATGAGCATTGACATGGATGCCTATCTCTTCACCCCCAACTGGAGGTTTGGTGCTAATGGATTATTGAACTGCTGACGGAAAGACATGAGGATACTCATCACTTGGGACTTCTAACCCATCTGAAACTTGAAATGATTAACAACTGTGAAGATGGGTCAACTCATGAGTCCAGTGAGCTGTACTAAGGGTACTATGACAGGAATGAATAACAGCTAGCATTAGTGTAATGCTACAAGGTTGGGAAAGTACTTCACATATGCTAACTCAGAAATACAAAGTGCTCTGAAAAAAAAGAGAAAAATCAGAAAAACCAGTGAAAGTCCTGGAGAAACATAATGAAACCTACCTCTTGCCTCATGGCAGAGAGGCGGGGAACTGCTAGGGTGGTATAGTGTATATTTTATCAGACAAGGTTTCCGTAACAGATGTTGTTTCTTATTTTTTTTTTGTCATAAGGTCAGCTCAAAATGGGGGTGGGAGGATGACTGTGATGTAAAAACAAAAGGTATTATTCAATGCATTTTTAAAAAAGAAACAAAAAGCTGGTATATAGATTAGAGATGACCATTTCAATACTAGCCCTCTTGAGATTGCAGGGGGTGGGATCCTACATCCAATCTGCTGTGGGGATCTGGCATCAGGATCTCTCTGCTTTCTCTCTCTCCCACAACACCATACATTTTCAAGACAACCCAACTAAAACTTAATGAAAAGACAAGGTACAAGATAGAGTTCTCATTAGAATCACTGGTTAATTGCATTTAATTTCACCTGCCTGAAGTCGTTAAGGCCAAGGTCTCATGGGACTGTTTATGCGAGCTGATGAATCTATTTCAGATGTGTCAAACAGCAACGGTGTCTGTTGGAGAAGGTGCTCTGGGGGAACAGGTAAGTATCCAGGCAAAAATCCCTGACTGCCAACCCAACACAAACCCCACTCCTGTCAGTGCTGATGTATTGGTCTGCCTACTGGCACTTTCTTGAAGAACAAGTCTAAAAAGCACCCTGGTTGTTTTATGGCGGCAGAGACAATGATATGACATAGATGGGTGTGAAGCAGCATTGCCAGATGGTTAGAGAGCTGGCGTGGGGATCAGGAGGACCTGAGCTTACATCTTCTGACCCCACTTCTGCTTGCATCACCAAGTATTGCTTCTCCCTCATGCTTGCTATTTCACCTCGGGGAGGTCACCACACCTCTGGGTACTCTAGGTAACTCTAAAGCTCTCATTTACAGAAAATGTGGAGACCTGCATTGGTAGAGAGGGTTTCCTCAGTGGCAGTTCCCTATATCATTGAACTCACAAGTCCAGTAAATATGTGTGTATGCACGCACGCATGTATGCATGCATGCATTGTGTGTATACACATAACACACACACACACAGATGGTGCATGTATATGTATGCATTGCATACATATACATGGAGGTGCATATAGATGAACCTATATGTATATGAATGTATGCGTGTATATACACACACACATATGAATCTCTATGAAAGACAGAGACAGAGAGATGGATAGAGACAGAGATATAGAGAGACATAGAGGGGCAGAGAGAGAAAGAGAAAGACACACACGGAGAAAGACAGAGACAGAGAAAGCATCGTCTAGATCCAACAGTGGGGTGGTATGCTTCATTATGCCCTGAGCTCCCTGCCATTGCAAGGTTTCAAACAGAGGACTGATTACCACCTGGAATGGCATTTGTAAAAGGAATTCATTTGTTGTTCCAAAAGCATTTATTATACCGTTTTCTTATACCTACTTTATGCCAGACACTCTGCTAGGTATCGGTCATATAAAGACACACGTGAACTAGTCTGGGCCATGAAGGAGAGTGCGTTCTCCTTCCTAGGGGGAGATCATATGTATGGACCCAGATAAGTACATCCAAAATCTGAAACACCGAGTGATTACAAGGTAGGTGCGATGAAAAATCAGAATCACAAAATTGAAGAATCTGTAGAGGCCTGAGAGAAAAGGAGTACCCACTGAGGGCATCAGGAAGGACCCTCAGATGGATTGTCAGAAGGGAGCGGGTGCGAGGGTTCAGAGGGGCAGAGTGAGAAAGGAATGTGTTCTGGTACTTGGGTCACTCTGTAGAAGCAACGGATAGGAGACAAAATCCACTCTTCTGGAACTGAGAGAGAGATTGGGTTACCTGAACTTACAGGTCCTTTTTCACTCTCAAACTATATGAAATCTCAACATCATCATATCATCAGGTTAAAAAAGAATGGTGGGGGAGGGAGGAGCTTATTGGCACAGGACTTTTGATCACACATGCGCCCATTTTCTGCCTTCCTTCTCTGCACACAATGGGATTCCTTAAATCATCCACCTGTCAGTGGTGGGTCTTGATTACAGAAGAGAAGGCAATCAATACTCATTAATTAGGGCGAGTTGCTACCAGCAGCTTGCTGATCCTAGCAAGTGGGGTATTTATGACCAGAAAAACCTGTTTCAACCACACTCTGTCATGACTTTAGAACAACTTTCCTATTGATGGTTCATGCCAGGGGCTAATTCACTTTGAGCCTAAGCTGTGAAAAACTGTGTGTAAATACATTGGAGCTCTCTATCCTCAAAGAAGTTAAGAGATTCAAACTTAAGAGAGATAGTCCTGTTAACATGTTCCTTGGAATTGGGGCAGTCATTCATTCAAAATTCATGTGAGGTACACCTACCATCAAGGAGGTTACGTTCTATTGGAGGGAGGGATGCAATGTGGATACATTAATATAAAAATACACAAATAAATGCAATGGAGGAGTTACTGGAGACTTGGGGCATCGGCACAGGCAAGAGAGTGACAGGGTTGTACTTGTGTTTAGGAATATGAGCTTAGTAGCTGTGTAGAGAATGGGTGGAAGGAGAGAGAGGGACTGAACAGTGAACGATGATACCAAAGGATTCCCAGGATGGTCCCCTGCTCTCGGGCAGCTTCCAGGTTAATCAGTCGATAAAGTACCTGAGACAAACAGGCAAGTGTCAGCACAAGGAAGTAGGGCTAAATGTCTAAAGGATGGGTTTGCTTAAACATGGCCTTTGGAGTTGAGAGAAGAGGACGGTTCAGGTGGAGTGGAGCAATGAGTCCATCATCCAGTCAACAATAATTTAGTAAGTGATTCCTTGGTGCCAGTCACTGGGCTGGGCACTTTGGGGACACCAAGACAAAGAGTCCCTGGCCTCAAGAAACTTATACTCTATCTAGGCAGAGAAATCATTGCAATGGTGGGGTTGGAATTGGACCTTGAATAATAGGTGGAAAATACTTAGGTAGGGAGGAAGGAAGAGAATATTTCGGGCTAAAAACCAACCTGAATGAGTGCTTGGCACTTAGGAGATGAGCATTGCTGGATTTATGAATGAATGGAGTCGTGCATGGCGGAGGGTACAGCTGGAGCTCAGCTGGTCTCCATCCCAGTCACAGAATCAAAGAGGTTCTTTATTGCCTGTCACTCAGCCAAGATCCCACCTTGAACATGGATGCCCTCTAACATTCCATAGGTCTGTATTCCAGAGGGCACAACTCTGAGCCCCAAGTGGCTATAGTGTAACACAGTCTTGGGCACCTTTGCCATCCTGTTTCTCACTTTCTGGGATGCACTCCGGTTTGCCAAAGGCCTTCCTGAAATGTGATATCCATAATGTAGCTCAAATCGTATAGATGTGGCTTACCAGTGAAATTATCACCTCTCATGCTCTGGATGCAGTCCAAAATCACATTACATTTTCTAGCTTCTGCATCAAACCACCAGTTCATATTACACTCCTGTGTCACCCCTCGTCCTTTTCCACGTGAACTGATGTTAACTCCAACTCCCTCTTCCTTTTTTTCAATCTGAGTATAAGACTTTACATTGATAACCAGTAAGCTTAATCTTATTAGCTTTTACCCTTTGCTTGAGTCTGCTATTTTTTTTTATCCCAATTCTGTCATTCTAAGCTTCCTGCCTTTTAGAAATTTTATAAGCATGTCATTTTTGCCTTCCTCAGTCACTGATAAAGATAATGAATAGAACAAGGTCAAGGCAGCTGTGCCAGAGACCTCCTTCCCAGTCAGAATAGATTTCTTAGTCATCTCTGAGTCTAGAGATTCATTCAGTGTTGAATTCATATCGCTGTCTTACATACATAGGCATGCATAATATATGTGCCAGGTGTGCTGGCCTGCCCTAACACTGTCTGACCCAAAGGATGGACAGTATGCAGCCCCATGGTATGCTAGCACATTCAGCCCACACTCTCGTGATCAGGTCATGCCTCACCCATCTTGCCCAAAGGGACATTCTGAGAGGTGTTGTCCAATGTCTTCCCTGAAATCCATCTCTACCCCGTTTATGGTATTCCTCTGATCTAATCATCTCAGTAACTCTATCTTGATCTTCATGAACCCACGTTGGCTCACAGCAACCACTGTTTCCCTTTTGAGGTAATCACAAACCATTCCTTTAATAATCCAATCTAGAATTTTGCCAGGAATTGACATGAAGGTCATAACATCATAGATTTTGAGCGAGGCCACTGGAAGTCACCTGACCAAGTCTTTCATTTAGCTTGTAAAGAAACTGAGAAGGAAAGAGGTTACATGATTTGTCTAAAGTCATGTAGTTAGTAAATGGGAGAGGCTGGATTTGACATCCCACTCCACAATGCTGCATCACACAGCTCTCTGCGTTGTGCATGGTCACATGGTTTGGGGATTTTCACATTTCAAGTATTCCATTCCTTGTATTTAAGGCTTGCCATAAAATGATTACAGATCATAGGATCATTGGTCTAGTCTAACCCTTTAATTTTACAGATGTGGAAACTGAGGCCCGGACAGGTTAGTCAAGTACAGAGCAAGGATTTTATCTCTGACTCCAAATCCGCTGCTTCCCCCTCCCCATTTCTTGATCACACATACAGTTTTCCCTCAGGTGACTTTTGCTCTCAATTCACCAATTCTTTCTAAAGCTCCAAAAACAAAAAAAAGCCATTCTACCCCACCCAAAGCCCCAGTGCTCCTAGGACACATACATTTGAGTATGGGTTTCATTGAGCTATGATTTGAGCTCTGGTATTGTAGACAAGCTGGAGACCGATTAATGAGGGGAAGAACACCCCTTATTTCCATGTAGGGAACCCAGGACTGGATCTTGAAGGAGGCCTAGGAAGCCAGTTATAAATAGCAACTAGAACTTTATCTCCTAGCTGACCTCCCAACCTTCTTTTGAGCCTTGAACATGTTTCATTTTCTTTCTTTTTCCATCTTTTCAAGATGAAAACTTTCCCACACAGGCAGCAGCCTAAACAACAGAAAAAATTGGCTTTTGTGATAGCCTAGCCAATTCTGCAGATCAACGAGTGTGGAGGGAGAGTGGGCTAAGGATCTGGACTTGGGGGCACCTACCTGTCCCGAATCCCAGAAGATTCTAATGGCCACCTCTCATTAGTTCCTTCCTCCCAGAAGTGCTGACCAGTCATCCGTGACAGGGGAGGGTTGACCTCCTCCAGAGGAGTTTGCCTTCCTTTTTGAAATCAGGAATGCGCGCTTGATTTATCACACAGAAAGCTTGGCTTGGAAATCTGGAGGCCTCTGCTTGCTGAAATTTGTTGGGAGGGAGAAAGTTGGAGATGGGATTCGACAGGATTAGTGCTGAAAGAACCCAAGGTATAAACAAAGAAATCTTCAAAACCAAGCCAACGTCTGGCTTTGCTATGAGTTCCAGCTGGGGACAGTTCATAAAAGTCATCATCCTTTGTTTTTGTGCAGCCTCACTGGTAGCAGAGAGGTTTGCTCGATTCCATGGAAGAAGCCGAGATTAAAGTTTGAAAAAACCTCGGAGGCAGGAGTGTGCTGATGAATATTTAACAACCGGCTTTCTAAATTTAAGTTAAAATCTGCATTACAAACATTTCCCTATTGCTTTCTTAAGTTTAGAAATCGAGAAAACAGTAAATGACGCCAGTTTGTAATATTTTCTGATTTTTAAGGCATAAATGCTCATATTGAAAATTTAACAATCAGCCAGAGCTGCTATAGCTAGTTCCAGCACATCGCTGTTTAGAAGACCCCTAGTCCAATTTCTTCAAAGGGGAGGAAGCTGAGACCCAGAAAAGGTCATACAGTAAATTGGCCGTACTAGGACCTACTCGTCCCTGAGTCCCAGACCGGCTCTTTCCATGATACCCAATTCAACAGCTATTAGCAGGGGCTCCTCATCTTTCTGAGTGTCATAGTGAAGTTTGCACAGGAAATCCTCCTGGACTTTGGCCTCCAGATCATGCCACATGGTGATCAAAGAACTAGACATGTTTAGCTTTGAGAAGAGAAAGCTCAGAGCAGGGACATGACAACTATTTTCAAGGACTTAAAGGAATTGTCATATATGAGGAGTTAGACTCGTTCTGCGTGGCCAGCTAGAAAAGGGATTCTCCATGAAAGTCAAAGTTCACAAGCTGCTGCTGTGTGCATAGATTTTGCTGATGGCCTTGAGCTTTAGAATAATACAACTCAACCCTTCCCTCTGTCCCTCAAAGTTCCCAAGATCCATCATCTTTCAAAAGAATTTGGTTTTTCCATTCATACCAGATGAACAAAATGAATGAAAAACACACTTTCCAGACTGACCTGAATTTGTGTGGGTAGTCCATTGAGTGAACCCATCAGCATCCCCATGTTGAAAAACACCACAGATGGACAGTGAGCCGGACCTAGAACTGAAAAGGAAGATGAGGGTGGCCTGGAAGGCCTTGAGGAAATCATGCAACACTTTCGACAATGCCAAGTTTCTGGACACCAAAAAATCTTGCTCTTTTTAAAGCCAGTATTGTCCTAGTGATGCTGTTGGGTTCACGGGACCCCAGGATCTACGAAGAATCAAATGATGATGACCCAAAGGTTCCATGCTAGGCGTAAATAGATTGTAGCCCATGAGCACAATGACTGTACACGAGAAATATTATAAAATAACTTCAAAAACATGAGTGAATGAGCAGGAAATGGATGTAAGAACTCAATCTAATCCCATTTAAATAAGCTCAATAAGCGTTTATTAATCTTACTACTGCATATCAAGTGGGAGGCAGCTAGGTGGCTCAGTGAATGGAGCACTGGACCCTAGAGTCAGGTAGACTTGAATTTAAATCCAGCCTCAGACACTTACTAGCTGTGTGACTCTGGATAAGTCACTTCACTTCTCTTTGCCTTAATCCACTGCATAAGGAAAAGGCAAACCACTCTGGAATCTTCAGGTAGTATTGGAATGCTATGGTCTATGGATCATGAAGAGTCAGACACAACCGAATGAACAGCCACGTGCGTGAAGTACTTTCCTGGTTGTTGGGGAGAGAAAGACAAACCCAAACCACACAAGCAAAAGTCTCTGACCTTGAGTGACATATTCTACAGGACAGAAACATGCATGAATGAATACACAGGAAATACACAAAGTGAATACAAAATGGTGGGATTTGGGGCCCTAGAACACCTGGGAGGATCAGCCGATAGTTGTGCTGAACCTCGGAGGTAGATAATTTTAGGATGTTTGCCTTGATTAAACTGTCGAGAGTGGGGTGGGGGGGCTTGCTTAAATATCTAGAACATGTCTTAATTTAGAACAAGTTTTTATTGATGCCATTTGATTGACGCCATTGATGCCATCATCAAAATTTCTTCCAGGATCCTTCTCCAATCCCTCCTCAGAGGGCAATCCTACATAACCAATAATATTTTAAAGGCCAAAAAACCTCCGAAGGAAAAGAAGGAAAAAGAGACAGAAAAATCAGCATAACTAATCAATACATCATAAAAGTTGGGAAAAAATGTAGAACGTGCCACCCTCATGAACCTCCTCTTTCTTCAAAGGGGTCAGGTGGGAATATATTTTCATGGCTCTTCTTTTAAGCCATACTGAATACGCTTTAAAAAATCCGGGAAACGTTTACCTGATCATTTCATTAATTTCTTTCAAGAAAGAGCCTTGATTAATAACAGGACCACACATTAAGACTAGAGGATAATAACTGGAAGGAAGGAACCTCAGTCATCTGGTCCAAGCCCCTGATTTTACAAATTGAGGAAACTGAGTCCCAGTTTCAGCACTCAAGATGCGAAACAATTTGTCCAAGGCTTAATAGGCAGTAGGGGAAGGGCGGGGATTCCGAAGCTGGCCCTCTGATTCCAAATGTGGTGCTGCTCTGCCCACTCCACAGCTGCTGCCTTAGGCTCCAAAGAATTCCTGCCTCTCTAGGGTTCTGTAGGTATAAAGAGCTAACACTTCCCTAGTCCCTTCCTGCCAATGGCCCCGGGAGGTATAGAATGTGTACTGCCCTCATTGTGATGATGAGGCCACCCAGGTTTGGACAGCCAGTAAGGAGACGGTAGCTGGAAATTGAGGGGACTGGACAAGATGGTTTCTGGAGTTCCTTCAAGCTCTGCTTCTAATGCCATGAAAGAGATTTAAAGAAAGAGAAGGAATGCTTTAAATTTGGAATTCTGAAGGAGTGGGTGCAGGGTGGGAAGTGGGAATTCAGCTCAGAAGACTATGTTGGGATTGCTGCATCCATCCACTCAAGCTGAGTTCAGCATGAATCATTTATGAGCCCAAAGAAGCATGTCCTGCAAACATTCGGACTGTCCCCAGAGAAGACCTCATGGTCTTTCTACATTTCGGTACAGGAATGTGAGAGAACCAGACCTTGGGGAGAAAACCGATTGGATCTGGGGTGAAGAGATCATAAGAAATCTCATTGCAATACCTTTTGTCCATCCTCCCCCCACATTGCCTCCTGCTAAAATGGCTCTGTGGAGGCAGAGAAAGAGGAAACGCTACTTTTTAAAAAGTTTTCATGAACTATAGCACATTCCAGAATTATTTGAAGACGAGATGTTGAGGAGAGGGGCTGATTTGAATTTGTAAAGGGAGTTTCCTCAATGGAAGCCTCCAACATGGATAAAATCACAGATTTGGTCCAAATGTCTTAATGATTGTAGACATAGAAAACATGGCTCTTAAAGGATTAGAAAACTATCTGTGTTCTCTGTTTTTAAATGGCTAAATAACTTTAAAAACCTATTAAGTTGAAGAACTCACTGAGGATCCCACTAGGTCAGAACCAGATCCGTGGCCCCAGACACAGCCCTCTTCTGGCCCCCTCTCATGAGCTCCACAGAGTTTTAAGCCAATGACTCACTATCACTCCAAGATTATGAATTTCTCTGGAGCCAAGCAAATTAAATTTGTTCATAAAGACACAGAGCAAACAAAGTGATCCTTAAAGGACACCCCTGAGCATCACCCTGTCTCCCCATACTAATTGGGTATTTCCTGGCTTTCTTGGTGCAGATCCTGACTCACCCAAAGCACTCTGCAGTTTGCTTTCTACTCAGCCTTTGGCCTTTGAACCGAGCCAGGACTAAACATCTCACCAAGCCTTGTCCAACCTCGAGCTCAGTTTCGTGTAGCTGATTAAGGCTGGCACGTGGACTACAGGCAGTAGTGGGACTCTGCTTGAAGCCTTCCCATCTTGGTAGCACCTGCTAAATCTCAGGGGCCACTGATGGGCTCTGAGAGCCTTCTGGACAGGGATTATAACCCTCTGGGACAAGAGGATCAGGAAACCCCAAAGGGAAGGGGCCAGACACCTGGGGCTCATTGTGTCCCCCACCCCCAGCAAGGTGTTACCCCCCAGGCATCCGTGACCTCGGGTCTGCCACTTTCTCTTAGTCGATGGAGTGAGGCAGGCAAGGCACATCCTACTGGTTAGAATCCAAGGTCTACTGTAACACACCACCAGTAATCTCAGGGCAAGGAGGCTCTGCTGACAGAGTCCTGCATTGGCTAACTTAATAAATGAGTGATTTCTATTTTTGTCAACATTGGATTGGGAGTTCAAGATCCGAATTCCAGCCCTGGTTCCATTACTTGTTGTATGTGACCATGGGTGTATGTGTGTGCATGCATGTACATGTGTGTATAAGCATTGCAGTACATGCAACACCTGTATGTATGCACACATATGGACGTATATATGACATGGCTATGTACTTGTAGATATATGCACGTGTGTATATGCTTATACATATAAAAGTATGTGTCTCTGCGGATACACATACACACTTATATGTACACTTGTGTGTTTATGTCTAGGGGGTGATGGTATTTTTGTGTGTATGCATTTAAGGAGTCCAGCAGAATACTACACCATGCCCAAGAGGAATTTCACGAATACCCTGTTACCTCCAGCTTCTAGGAGCTGTGAGTTGCTCCTTTGTTATTCATACGTTCTAAGCTTGAATGAATTTTTCCCTGGCCTCCGTGTGTAGGGGTTAGACAATGTATCACCGATTTTTGGCGGGCTATTTTGTACAAACTCTTCTGCTATTATTATTGGCATAAGGAAAGTGACGTCATGACCTGCCAGTGGATTGTATCTAAGTGAGGCAGGGCTGTGCAAAGTCACCAGCCTCACTCCCTCCTCCAGAGTCATCTGGGTCCAGTGGCCAGATACAGATCCGGACAACTGGAGATGGCCCCTTCTTCTTGTGATATCATCTTAGT